TTAAGGTGTAGATATGGTCTTCGCATCGACCCAGGGTCATTCTCATCTAGTACTAAGGAGGTGCCTTAAAGTACACTGATCTTCGGCTCGCTGTCTAATGGCTCCTTTTCCCCACTGGAAGAATGCCGAGAAGTGAAAATCCTCAGCACAGCTGTTGGGTGACCTTTGAGGGGTGCTGGGTTTGGACAGACGTTGGTGACCGTGCAAAACAAAAAAAAAAATAAATGAAAAAAAAAAAACACAGAAAAAGTGCTGAATCATTGGCCCATCTACACTGCCTTCCCTTGTGACTGCAAGTCAGCGTATTGCTGGCAAGCCTGTGGAAAGCTGGTCCAGGGCTATTCTGATCAGATGAGTTCTTATGTGTGAAACCTCTTCAGTTAAGGCAATTTAAAAAAAAGCCAACATAGCTCCATGTGCATTTCATTTTATTCAGCCTGCCCTGCTGTGCTCTGGCTACACTTCCATTCAGCCCCCTGCCATGCTGCTAGTAATTGGCTTTCCTGATTAGTCTCCCAGAACTGCCGTCGAGGGGAAGACTGATCCTGTGCTACCTTGCTCCTTGTGTGGCCGCTTACACCCGTACCTAGTGCATGTACAAACCCTGCTCCACTGTAAGCTAGTGGGGTGTTTATTGGCTAGCACTTGGGAGCAGTATAAATGACCACAGCAGGGGCAAGACAGTAGAGAATCATGCTCAGGAGTCCATAAACTGACGCCGTCAGGCACATGTCCTGTGCTAATCCCTCCTTGCCTGCACACAAAGGGTTAATTTTTTGGAGTTCTAGCAATAATCAGAGAGCACCACTGTCTTCCCATTAGTTTATTATAATGGATCACTAACTACTTAGTGATCCGAGCTGCCTTACAAAACTTCTAAATATTTAGAACACTGCCTCACTGCAGCTGGCTATACAATGCAATGTCCTTTTTAATCAGGAGCCTGAAGGGCTTGGGGTTTTGTTTTGGTTTTTTTAGGGCAAAAATTGACCTCCCTTCCTCATAGCTTTCGTTCTAAGGTCTTGATCCTGCAAACTGCTCTGAGCAGGTTGTCAATGGATCAGGGCCTGAGATTTTTATTTGAAGTTACCCAGCCTTCCCTTATTACTATTAATCATGTTTATTACAGTAGTGCCTAAGGACCCATCAAGACTGGGGCCCCCACTCTGCTAGGCAGTGTAAAAACAAAGAATAGCAGATGGTCTTTGCCCCAACAAGTTTACAATCTAAATCGACAAGACAGGCGCAGCGTGGGAGAAGGGGCAGAACACACAAGCAAGGTGAACGTAGAAATCATAGAAGACTAGGGTTGGAAGAGACCTCAGGAGGTCATCTAGTCCAATCCCCTGCTCAAATCAGGACTAACCCCAACTAAACCAAAACAATGTGGTGGCAGCAAACGGCCTGCTCGTTCTATGACCTTTATGGGCTTAGTTGGGTGAGGATAAATTCAGAGGGGGGGGGGAAGTGAGGGGAAGAGGAGTGAGGGGGCAGGACAGGGAAGAAAGGGCTAAGAGGGGCAGGTGTAGTGAACCAGGGTGAAGAGATTAGGAGGTGAGATAAGGTCAGAGCAATCAGCACAGAAGAAGTTCTTGGTATGTCTGGTCCCTGCTTTGGCTGCATCAGTGCCTGCTCCTACCAGCTGGACTTGAGTCTCTGGCTGATTTCTCACTGCAGTTTTCCCCCAAGACCATATCGGAAAGGAACGGCCAGGTGACGTCACTATCTGTGTCCTATTGCCCCCAGTGTGTGTTTGGGGCGGGGGGGGAGGGCTCCCCTGCACAGTTCTGGGTTCAGGAAGGGGCTAAGGGGAAGAGCAGCTCTGGCTGGACTCCATTTTACCCCCCACCCCCAGTGCAGCAGTCCCCGCTTTGGCGGCTTCCATGGCATGTGGCTTTCCTTTGCCTCCCCAATCCCGATGGTTCCCAACACCAGAAATAAACTTTAGGAAGGTGGGGAGATGTCCTCTGTCATGTGACAGTCAGAGTAAGCAAACCCAGAGCATCTGTGTGCCTCACACCTAGGGGCTGCCCCAGCTCTCAACTTTCTTCTGCCCTAAACCAACTGGCGGGGGACTGCCCTTCCCTCCCCGCAGTCACTCCCATAATAAGCAAAATTTTGCTGCCGCCAAGGGATGCTATCTACGCTGCCTGAACAGGAGCGCCAGCCCGGCCTAACTGGGTGTACTTTGTACCGTCCTGTCTGTGTTCAGCATTCTGCAGTCCAGGGCATCCAGCCACCTGCACACTTAGCTGGCTGATAAACGAGACTCCAAGGTTGCTTCTAAACTGCTGTTCCAGCTCTTCCCCACAACACTGACAACACCTCTCCCACATCCCTCTCTTAAACAACTCAAGGCACAACTAGTGCAATCTCTTCCTTTCCCCTGGCTCAGCAGGACGGTCTTCTCCTACACCTGCCACTTGAAAAGTTTCTGATCTCTGCTAGCCTGAGGACTAAGCCTGCCAGCCAGGGTGGGAAATAGTTGTGCTGTCACTCCTCCCCCTTGCAATTTGCGGGAATAGGACTCTTGTGCACTGTAATTGTCACAATGCCAGTTGGCTTGCTAATTAATAATTGTTCACCTTACTCCCTCTCTCTTTGTTTTGTAATAGCTTTGTTTCCTTCCTGGCTTCACTCCACCTTTTTGTTTCTTTCCTATAGTAGATTGAGGTGCGTCTTCAGCATTTGCCTAGAATCTTCCTTTTCTCTCCCTCCGCCACGTCTCTGCCTTCTCCCCGCTATTTTTTGTCTTTGCTTTCTTTCTCCCTCCCCTCTCTGCAATAAACAAATAAATCCTCCTGTCTCTCTGAGTTTCCTATCTTATCTTTTCCCTCCCACTCACTCACAAATAGGAGTTGAAAATCTTTCCAGACTTCTGTGCGCCATTGGAATAAAACTAGTAGCCAACAGAAGTTGGTCCAATAAAAGATATTACCTCACCCGTCTTGTCTAGCCAAAGACTGATAAGAACGAAGGGAAGGCATTACCCATGTGAGAAGTCAGCCCCCTGTCTAGCTCCTGGGAGTCCTACTGTCTCTGATCCCTGCTCGAGGACTTCTTTCATACCAATCCCTGGCTTGCAGGCCTAGTAGGTGATCATTGTGTATTCCCTACTACACCTATCCCCTCCCTGCTGGAAGGGAAACTGAGCATTTCTCTCACTTACACACCTACCTTTTTTAGCTGAAAGGGTGCTTGGAAAGTTCCCTGCTATTCTACCTCTATCCCAGCCTGTTTGAGTCCTGACTCCTCTCCACTGCCCAGTGAATAGCTCCATATATGCTTCTACTGCTACTTACAGCTCTCCCCAGTATCGGCAGGGCTGAAACTGACCTGATTCTTGGAATGGCAACAATGCAAATTGGCAAAACTGTAGTCCAGTTTCACTCTGCTGCAGCTTGGCAGAGTGAAGAGCAGCAGCAGAGGCACCAGAGCTGGCTATCTACAGACTCAGACTGCACTGTATCAGTACACACTTGGTTCACATCTGCAAGGTTCTCTTCACTGTCATAAGGATTAGAAACTTCTTATTTTAATGAAAACTTCAAATGAGCAGAAGCTAATGGCCCTAACCTGGGAAATCTACCTACCCAGCACATAGGAGCAAGCGAGTGTAATCTAGCCCTACTTACACTTGCATATTGGGGTTAGAACAAAAGCTCAGGGAGATGGATGCCCAAGGTACTGTCTGCGGGCAGCCAATTTTTTGTGGCTGTTGCTTTGTTTTACATTTTAAACAATTTAAATATGTTTTTTAAAAAATGAGGGCGTGAGCTGGTAAGAAACTAGAGGGATGTCAGGCTTGTCTGGGCAGGATAAAACCTCCACAGAGGTGCACAGCCATCTGCCAAAGGAACTGATCTATGCTGTATGGTTTTGCTATGCTTGGGAGTAGCTGGGGGGCGACAGCCCCATCTACATTCTGAGGCACCTGGAAGAGCAGAGAAGGCAGGGGTTTAACATACTGATTTAGAAGGACCTGTTCTGTTTCACAAATGACTTTCCTGACATTGTTAGTTACTACCTACTAAGAACTGACAACAGGTGGGGTACTTGGGAGATGACAGAATCACTTTAATAAAGAAAAAATACAACTGGAAGTAGCCTTACTCAGTGTCTGTGTGAGAACTTCCAGGTATTCTCTGAGGAATTTCCCTCTGTTTGTGTTATGGTAGCACCTAGAGGGTTAAGAGGCCTTGATCTCATAATGCTAGGTGCTGTACAAAGATGTAGTGAGAAATAGACTCTTTTACATTCTAAATGAACAAGACAGGCAAAGGGAATATTATTACCACCATTTTTTGAGAAGGAGAACCGAGGCACCAAAAGATTAAGTGATTTGGCCAAGGTCACACAGGAAGTCTGTAGCAGAGCTGGGAACAGAGCCCAGACCTTATGACTTGTACTGTAGGGCTTTCATCACAAGCCCGTCCCTCCTTTCAGCACTTTGTAACTGTGCGGAGAAGAGAGAGGGAGACTCCTACCCAACCTGTAACCTATTCGGATGCTGCTGTAGCTATTGGATTCTCTACTATTCCTTTCAGTGATTCTTGCTGTGTGAGGCTGACTGCCATAGGACTGAAATCAGTGTGGGGTTAGGCTCCTAGTTACCTTTGAGGATCTGGGCCTGTGAGCTTACCGCAGCCCGTGTTCCTACACTAATTCCTCCTGGGAGAGGCTGGGATTGGAGCAGCTGTGAGCTCATCACAGCCAACATTACTATGCCCTTCCCTACAAATGATTCCTGCTGGAAGAGGCTGTACTGGAGTGGTTATGAGCTTGCTACTGCCAGCACTTGTCTACACCATTCCCTACTCCTGCTGGGGGAAGTAGGGATTGCAATTGCAGTCTTACACCACTAAGTTATTTATGCATCAACCCCAGAGGATTATCCGGTTCAATTCAATTTTGAGCGAGAGCGCCTAGGAATACTCTCCTTGTTGCCACAAACTTTCATCTGTATTAACACTCCTCTCTGCGCTCCTCTTCTCCCTCAGGCTCAGTACTACGGAGAGATTAGCATTGGGACGCCACCGCAAAAGTTCACCGTGGTCTTTGACACTGGATCGTCCAACCTCTGGGTGCCTTCTGTCCATTGCAACCTCCTGGACATCGCCTGCTGTAAGTAGCTCTTGCGCAGTGAAGCTGCCTGGCCTCATGACCTTTAACAGCCTCCTATTCCTTGCATTTCCTTGCGTATCCAGTACAGGCACCAAAGAGCCGCCCTGTGAACCAGGGACAGAAGGTCAGACCACCCAAGGGAGAAACCCCTGGCCTGCAGAGGGCAACCGGCATCCTCCAAACCAGTCTGTCCTGCAGACTTCTTGGCCCATGAGTGGGCCAGCTGGAGCAGTCAGGGAGAATAACCCAAGTGAAGCACTGAATGCTTTAGGGCTCTCTTGTGTTCTCATTTGCATGCCAGTTCCCAGGATGGTTTCCCCAGCTTAGGCAGCTGCAGCATGGCTAAGCTAGACACAGCTCTGGGAATACACAGAGACAGCCCCTGTCTTTGGCACCTGCAGCCACTAGGTCTTCAAAATAAGAATCTCCTTTCTCTTTCCCCTTAAGTTTGTCCAGCCCCAGGGGTTTGGAGGATGCAGTCTTTTATATTTTGCACTTTTCATGCTCACCAGAGCAAGCCCTTTTCTTGCCCTGTGATGACAGTTGCATTAGTGGAGCACGGTGCTGATATCTGGGCATTGACACCCTTGTTCCCTTTGACTGAAGGAGAAAGGGATAAGGAAAGGTGGGGGGAGGGATAGCTCAGTGGTTTGAGCATTGGCTTGCTAAACTCAGCGTTGTGAGTTCAATCCTTGAGGGGGCCACTTACGGATCTGGGGCAAAATCAGTACTTGGTCCTGCTAGTGAAGGCGGGGGCTGGACTCAATGACCTTTTGGAGTCCCTTCCAGTTCTATGAGATATGTATATCTCCATATATTATTATTCTTTTATTAAAGTCTATGCTGATGTTTTTCAACGACCCACCTAAAATGGGGGAGTGGCATTGGCGGTGGGGGGTGAGGGAAATAGAAAACAACAATAATATCCAACTCTTACAGCAGTTTTCCTCTGTAGCGCTCGAACCCTTTACAAAGGAGATGTCAATATTGTTATCCCCATTTTACAGATGGGACACAAAAGGCGAAGCAACTTGCCCAAGGTCACCAGCACAGCCAGGAGTAGTACCCATGTGTCCTGAGTCCCAGTCCAGTGTGCTGTCAAGTTAATGGCCCTTCCTTCTCCTGTCTCTTCCCCTCCCCTTCCTCCCGTCTCCCACACACACTCACATTAATTCTTTTTGGAATGACCTTGATTGGGTAATGAGTCATTCCATGTGTCGCTCTGCTTCTCCCCAAATTATAGCTATGTTGTCCTGTTGCTCAATGCAGTCAAAAAAGCCTATCTTGATAGATCTGAGACCAACTGTCCTAGTTTCTGGTTTATTACTGCCCAGAATGTGCATGCACATGTTTATGGATCTATAATAATAACCGTGTTTAAAAAAAAAATGTTGTGGCTAAAACCAAAGGCTTATAAATTACAAGGTTTTCACCCTGTGATGTTACAGTATAATAAATCTCCAAAGAAGAAGATGTCAAACCCAACTGTGGTAAAATGCCTTTTAAAAGCCACCAAATGTGCTACTTAAGCAGAATGGAGAAAGTGGAGCCAACAAATATACAAACATGAAAGGTGACCTGCAAAGCCGAGGTGTGGGGGGGAATATTGGACTTGTGCCCTTTATGATTGATAGTGGTTTGTCAGGTGGATGGAGATATATATTTAGTGGGTTTGTTTCCCACTTGTTTTTATATATTCGAGATTTTTGGGCCCTGTCTAGGCTGGAGACTCTGATTCACAACTGGTCTATCTTGGGGATTCTGTACCTCTAGAGAACTAGGGAAATGTTGACAACCCAAGAGCCAGGAGTAAGATAGCTGAGCATTTGAGAGGGGAAGAGATTTTAGCTGGTCTGTTTACAGCTCTGTGGTCCTGATTCTCTACTTGCACCTTGTATAGCTCATTTTACTCTAGTGCAAAACAAATATAAAATGCTCCCAAACTGGAATTGAGTTTGCACAGATGTGATTATATCCCAGGTGCCAGGCAGTGATGTATCGGGTCCCGTCTGTTTAGCTTGTTTGTCTTTTGACCTATTTTAATTCCAGGGATGAATAAACATTTGGGAGCAAGGATGTCATTGCTAATGACTTGTTGTCTCCAGCCTTATAATTAAAAACAATCCATGTCTGCTGAGACATCCATTTACACCCTTGAGCAAAACTGGGGAAGAAATAAATAAAATTCCTCAACTTTCTAAGGTATAAAACAAATAGGTGTGGGGGAAGACATCCTTTCTTCCCCCTCCCCCCCTTTTTTTTTTAACTAAAACCTTCCAGGCCATCTTTATAAAGAAGGGCAGAAAACATATATTTAAAAAAATCTTTTCCAGATCACCTTTAAGAAAGAAACACTCTGTGATATAAATGAGTGAATACAAAAAATAATGTTTGTGTTTAATACCTGTATATACTTAAATTCACCCAAACTCTCCATAGCACAAAGCATCTTCCTCTTGGGGCAGTTATGGTGACTTGAGCCTCACTCTCGCAGTTTCTAATGTCCTCTGACATAACAGCCATGTGTAGTCTAGTCTCTAAATATGGGAGCCAAATCCTATTCAACTGCTAAATTGGATCTCATAATTGAATTCCTTGCATGTTAGAAATGCTTTATAAGGCATTCCGGAATTAGCATATGTAAGAATCAGGGCTCTGCTTACCCTCTCCTTGAACATACATTTACTTTTAAGAGCAGGGGAGGCAACATGATCTGGAGTTATGAGTATGGGGTTAGGAGTCTGGAAGTCCTGAGTTTCTTGATCTATGTTCCACCACTGACTTTAGTGTGACCTTTACGTCTCTGCTTCTTCCCCTCCCCCCAGGTGTAAAAGGGGGATAATAATCCCCTATCGCACCTCTCAGGAGGGTTGTGACATTTAATTTCTAGGACTTCCTGACAGCTTCTTCTTTTTTTAATTTCAATTTTTTGTTGAAATTTTGACAGAAAAATTGGGAAAGTTTTCCCAATTTTTTTTTCTTTTTTTTTTTTTTGGACCAGCTCATTTTAATTAGCTAATGCCCGACCAGTGCTTCAAACAGGCAACGCACTGTATAAATTGCTGAGCAGCATTAATATTGTGTGTACCTCCTGTATTCCTATTCCTCGCTGCAGTGATCCATCACAAATACGACTCCTCCAAATCCAGTACCTACCAGAAGAACGGCACAGCTTTCGCCATCCATTATGGAACCGGGAGCCTGTCTGGATACCTCAGCCAGGATGCTGTGGGGGTTAGTAATGACTGTACTTCACTTCTGCAACCCATTTAGGCCCTCGTTGAGCCAGGAATTCAGGCATGTCGCTTTGATTTCAATGGGACTTAGCAATACCCAGCACTTCTCATCAGATCTCAAAGCATTTTACACAGGTCAGTATCATAAGGTGGGGAAACTGAGGCACAGAGAGGGGAATTAACTTGTCGACAGTCACCCAGCAGGCCAGTGGTAGTTAGGAATAGAACCTAGGTCTCCCGACTCCCAGACCAGTTCGCTAGTGACTAGGAAAGACTGCATCCCACTACTCCTTAAAGGTAAACACTTGCTTAAGTGTTTTGCTGAGTCAGGGCCTTAGTTGGGGATCTCAGTCCACCTCCCCCAGGGACACATGTCCACGTTGCAATTGGCAGATCTCGTTAGCGAGGCTAAGCATTGAGTGAGAATGGAGATTAAACTACCCTACCGCCACTAGAGGTAGTTCCATCGTATCAGACTTGAGGCAGTCCGGGGTAAACTTGCCCTGCTATTGCCTATATTGCACTGGTTCTACTTCTGTGTAGAAACTTGGGGCCTACATTTTCAAGGGACCTGTGATTTTGGGGGAGGGTGTGTCCTTTTTTCCAGCACTCAACTTGAGACAACTTAAAGGGACCTGATTACCAGGAAGTGCAGAGCATCCACCCTCCGAAAATCAGCCTACTTCAGTGTGTCTCAAGTTAGGCACTCAGAAAATGAGATGCCCGGAATCACTCTTGAAAATGTGGGCTCAGCTTTCAAAAGCACAGCTGTGACTTAGCGCTCAAGTCCTGTTGAAAGTCACTGGGACTCAGGCTTCCAAATTACGTAGGGCCAGGTCCTCAGAGGTGTTGAAATCAATGCAAGTGAGGAGCCTATATACCTCTGAGGATCTGGGCCTTAGTCTTCAGTGTTGGCTTGAGAGCTCTAAACTTGCTTAGCAAAATAGATACATCTATAAACCCATTTTAGGTAGGCCCAGAAACCCATTGGCGTTTTCTCTGTCTGTCCCAGTTGAAAAGTGTTGGCTAACGAAGTCTGCTGGTGTCAAAAGAAAGGGATCCCTCTCTCTCTCTCTCTCCACCTCACTGCTCAGAAGAACAGCCTGAACTGAATTTCCCATCTGGCTTGGATTACACTCTGGCTCCCCTCTGCCAGAATCTTTTCTAGACTAGTGCAGAAATACTTGACTTACAGCCAGAACATCCCCTTGCAGGTGGTATCCCCGTAAGCGACAGGAGACTGGGACCGATTCAAAATGAATCGGTCAATGGGCAGACTCGCACTGAGTTCAGATGACGCCATTAGTGAGTTTCGTCTTGCTAAGATTGACTGTCAGTATTGCCTGGACGGGTGAGAGGATTTGCCACCCCACAATGAGCAAGGATTGACCTCCAAACCAGTAGATCTTTCCTCCCCCCATTCCCACCCCCAAGTACTGCACTGGTCTTGGAGGATCTGCAGAGCCCAATGCTATCCATGTACCTCCATTCTAGCTCTCTGTCCCTGCCTCCCATGCCTAGTTCCCTGGCATCACAACATTCAGCTCTAGATGATCTAGACCGGGGTGGCCAACCTATGGCTCCGGAGCCGCATGCAGCTCTTCAGAGGTTAATATGCGGCTCCTTGCATCGGGGCTGGAGCTACAGACACTAACTTTCCAATGCACCAGGGAATGCTCACTGCTCAACCCCCTGCTCTGCCCCCACTCCACCCCTTCCCCCGAGCCTGCTTGCGGTGGGCGCGGGGAGGATGGGGAGGCGCTGATTGGTGGGGCTGCTGGTGGGCAGGAGGCACTGGGGGCTGGAGGGGGAGGGAGCTTATGGGGGGCTGCTGACGTATTACTGTGGCTCTTTGGCAATGTACATTGGTAAATTCTGGCTCCGGCTCAGGTTGGCCACCCCCAATCTAGACCCTAGTCATTTCCATTCAGGAAGCTTCTAGGATTCACTAAAACCCCTTCCAAGGATTTTATTGCTGTTGCCGAATGAAGTCATTTTGCATTTAGCAATAAATGTTCCACTTCTGTTAGGTTTAAAAAAAAAAAAAAAAAAAAGTCTAGCGCCAATAGAGCTGTCTGCTTTTGCCCTGTGCTGTCAGTTGCTGCTAGTGGGATTGGAGGATTGCAGGGAGAGAGCAGCGGGGGGAGCTGGGCGCAGGTGACTGGAGAGATGAAGAGGCCGTTTGAAAGGAGCTGCTCCAGTGATGGAGTGGGGCGGCGATCCAAAGCAGCTGGCTTTATGGGATTGTGTTAGTAGGTTTCAGTGCTCTCCAGTTTAATGGAGGGAGCGAAATGAGTCAGAAGGAAAATTGCAGCTTTTTTTAATTATCACTGTAATGCTTTCTTTTTAATTAGTTTGTTCCTGAGCCTGCATGGGCGGTGGGGGGGGGGGGGGGGAATAAGGGCTCTCTGCAGCCACTGCAACTGGCAGTGTTCAGCTTCCCTGTGTGTGGAAGTGATTGAAGTCTAGCCCATGATGTTTACAATCCAAGGGAGCACTGCAGTGGGTTCTTGGCACTCACAGAGGTGGGGTGCTAAATGCTGGGAACCCAAGTGGCTTCCCGTACAGGGCCAGATCCTGCATTCATTGCACACCCCAAATTCCCACTGACGTCAGAGAGAGGCTTGGGATGCATGAGAGATGTGAAATGGGAGCCGTTGTCAATGTCTGAGCCCAGACCTAAAATGCAACCATCAGGCTGGGCCAGATGCTCAGCAGGTTGATATCAGCAAAGTCACGATTTGCCAGCTGTGGGTCTGGCTTGGCGAGTGTTTGGCAAGGACAGCTGACTAGTTGAGAGGGAATGAAGGACTGTGTCTTTCCCTTCTCTGCCTTCCCCCTAAACCCCAGCCCCTAAACAGTCATTCTGGGCATCCTGAACCTTTATTGAACATCCCAGGGAAAAACACCCCATGAGAGGTAATAGAAACACAGAAATGTAGGGCTGGAGGGGACTTCAAGAGATCCTCTAATCCATCCCCACACACTGAGGCGGGACCTACCAAGACCATCCTTGACAGGTGTTTGTCCAATCTGGTCTTAAAAACCTCCAGTGAGGAGGATTCCACAACCTTCCTTGGAAGCCTATTCCCATGCTTCACTAGCCTTGTAGAAAACTTCCTGATGGAGGTGGGAATCTCACTCCAAGTAACAAGCGATGAATGCAGCTGTATCAGGGGAACCTCTGCCTCCCAGAGTGCTAGTGAGCCCGAGTTCTGCCAAGGGGTTCTAGCTTCACAGTGAGCTTAGGAGGTGCGTTACAAGTACAGGACAGAAAGCACAGACAGGTGAGTGCTGGGCTGATGGCCCTGCACAGTGAAGTCCTCATTTAGCCACACAGCAGGAAGGGAGAATTCAAGGCCAGATTCCCGGCTGGGGTAAATTGCCCCCACTCCACTGAAGTCATTGGAGCTAAGCCTGCTCTACACCAGCTGAGGATTTGGCCTTCAGCCTTTATGCCCCTCTCCAGTTTTGGTCTTTCTGCTGAGGCTGCTAACTAGGGTGCCAATTGCAGGATGTGATGCGTGACACCTCTCTGCAAGGAACTGGAGTGAGGCCACCAAACAGCCATCAGCTAGTAATGATTTTTGATCATTATGTACCTGGATGGGAGCCAAACCAGTGACTTAGAGAGGGAAAGTTCTGTAACCCAACGCCTTTGCTCTGCTAAAGACCCTCTCAGGCTTCAAGCCTGAAAATGCTTGCACGCCTGGCTATCTTTGTGCGTGTAAAAATGTTAGCGATTTTTGGTCAGCTCCCCGGTTGGCGTAAATCAGCGTTGCTCCAGCTAGGGATCGGGCCTGTCAAATATTTTATTGCTATTGTTTAAAAACTGAAGTTGTGCTGTGGTGGTGCCTTTATCACTTCTGAAAATGCCTCCCTCTTCTCAGTGCGTTACCGGACGTGTCGCTCAGATCCTTTCTGCCCCACATCCTGCTTCTGTGGCTTTTGTCTCTTGTGAAGCAAATTACACTTTGAAACAAAAAGTGTTCTTAGTCCAGTTAAAATAAGAACTCTCTGCACACATACCAGGCCTGCACACACACCTTTACACACTGACACAGAGCGAGGCACTATTTAACCCTGAGGGGATTTTAGTCATTTACAAGGGATCGTTTTCTGATGTCAGGTCAGAGAGGCTGAGCTTTTCATTTCAGTACAGTACATCTCACTGTAATGCTGCCAGTGGGAGTTTCAGACCCAACCAGGGTGGACTGAGGAAAGATGGTTAGGACTCTGACAGCATCCTGGTCCAATTGGTAAAATTGCCTGTGATCATTTTAAGCTATGAGATCTTGTGAACTGCTAGAGATAGAAACCAAAGGCCAGATCCCCATCTGGTGTAAATCATCATTGCTCCATTGACTTCTGTGGGGCCACACTGATCTCCTAGTGCTTTACACCATGTCAGTCCTTCTAGCCATGAGTCTGGCAAGAGAGCTGACCTTAAATTCATATCAGTCAGATTACCACTTTGCCCCTCCCACTACCCCAACACAACCCTTCAGTGCCCACCTCAATTTCATGACCTGCTTTCCTGAGAACTGTGGGAGCCAGCATCTGTGGTGTCTGCTTTCTGAATGTTTGGGGTCTCCTGATTCAAAGGGCATAAGTAGGGCCGTAAATGTAGATGGGGAAACTTCCCCTACACTGAGGGACGTGCAGTCCAAATCGCACTAGTCAGACAAACATGTGGCACAGACCAACAGTTCATGAGGGGAAGCTGCAGATTCTAGCTAGGAGACTAAGCTAGATGGGGTTGGGGTTTGAAGGAGGAAAGAGAGCAGTGCAGGAAGGGAGGTTGTTTCAGGAGTAGCGGGGAGCCTGATGGCTGCTGAGAGCGGAAGGAACGGAAAGGTGAGTAGGCACGTTGGGAATGAAAGGGGGAGTTGTAGATGGGGACAGGATTCTGTAGGGCCTTGAGGGTAAGGAACAGGAACTTGAATACAATGCAGTAAGTGACCAGAAACCGGTGGAGGGACTGAAAGAGCAGAAGTGATGTGGTCATAATGGGAGCTCCCATTAGCAGAGGTTGCTTCAGACATGCCTTTGATGGGGGAGAGCAGTGAGGCAGGCAAGCCAGACAGGAGATGATTGTTGGTGGGGAGGGAGGGGGGGGGATTGCAGGGAATGACCTCAATAAGGGGATAGCAAGGAAAGGACAGGTAAAAGCAACAGGACTCAGCAACTGGCCAGATGTGTGTGGGGACAGAGCACGGAGACGGGAAGGATAACAGCGCTGCCGGTGGTGATGGGGATCTGAGAGCCATTTTGAACTGGAGTTGGACACACAACTGCAGAAGTTAGGGAGGAGGGCAGTAGAGGTAGTGGTCGCTGTGATAGGTGAGGGAATGGGTGGGAGATGGCGTCCCCTAAAGAGAGGGAGTACAAAGCAGGGACAGAATACAGAATCGTGTGGGGCAGAGAGGAGGCCAAGAAGTCACTGAAAAACATGCTGAGGGCATGAGGAGAAATCAGGAAAGCACAGGGCCAGGGAAGCCATGAGGTGAAAGCCAAGGAACGAATGGGATTTATTATTGTTACGTGTCTTAGCACCTAGCAGCCCCAGTCATGGACCAGAACCCCATTGTGCTGGGCACTGTACAAGCACTGAACAAAGACACTCCCTGCCCCAACGAGCTAAGTTGTCAGTGACCTGCAGGAGGGCTGTTTCAGTTCAGTGGAGGGGGCACAGATCGAGCGGAGGGGCTCAAAGAGAGTGAGCCAAGAGAAATAAGAGAGCAGCTAGAGGAGTAAGTCTGATCCAAGGAAGGGAGCATAAGCATTTCCTGTCACGCCATTCACAAGGAGCTATTAGGGCCCAATGTCGGTCTGCTTGCGTAAGGTGGGAGCTGTATCTCCAATGGCCTGTATTTGTAGCAAAGCATTCTGACCTGAGACCCCCCTGTGGTTTCTCTGTGAGGCATGCATTGAGGAGCAGGATCTCTCTAGCCAATGCTAGACCAGAGAACAACTCTCGCGTGTTGACTCCATCCTGTTTCCAGGAAAGTGCTTTCTACCACCCCGGTACTCTGAGACTGTCTCTTTTTAACCATCTTGGATTTTTTTTCCCCCTCCCTGCAGATTGGTGACTTAGTTGTCAAGGAGCAGATCTTTGGTGAAGCAACCAAGCAACCTGGCATAACCTTCATCGCTGCCAAGTTCGACGGCATTATGGGCATGGCCTTCCCGAAGATCTCTGTGGATAAAGTCACACCCTTCTTCGATAACGTCATTCAGCAGAAGCTGGTGGACAAGAACATCTTTTCCTTCTACCTCAACAGGTGATGTTGCGGGGGCACGGAACTCGTTCTTGAGACATCGCATCTGGCTGTCTCCAACCTGTGGGCCACCTCCTGTCCTCCCACCTCATTCCAAGGGCCAGACCCTCAGTTGGTGTAAAGGGGCACAGCTGTATTGAAATCAGTGGAGCTGCATCCCTTTACACCAGAGGAGGGCCTGGCCCTAGAATCCCATTCCTGCAATAGGGTGTGTTTTCTGACACCCTTACTCCTGCAGGGAGAGTGGGCATTCATCTCTCACTGTAGCTACTTCCCACGGGTTGCTTGGCATCAGGCAACTGACTGAAGAGCTCTGGACAAAGCTGTTTTTTTTTTTTTTTTTTTTTTTTTACAACGAACTGATTATTTCAGTTCTCTGGAGCTCTGCTGATTTACATCAGCCGCAGAACATTCCCTTTCCTGAATGCCTACAGCGTGTTTGTCACTGGGCAAGTCAGTGCACGTCCTGCCCCGAGGAGCTTACAATCGAATGGCCCGAACCTTTCAGGAGATGGAGCGTCCCCAAAAAGACTTGAGGATGTTCAGCAGCTCCCTCTGTCCAGCCCTAAGATTCTTCTCTGTCTGGCCCCTTAGACAGTCACTTCCACCTGTGCAAAGTGGGTGTGTTCATGCCACCTGATCAAAATGGTAGCTTTCACATCCCCTCTGCACAGGTGGCGTTAATAGTGTCATAGCAAAGTAGGGCTGGAAGGGACCTCCAGAGGTCATCTAGTCCACCCCCCTGCACTGAGGCAGGACCAAGTATACCCGGATGCCTACCCAAGGGGTAGAGCAACGGGGAATGGGGTCTCAGTGCAGAACTCTACCCTCTGTGTATATGTCGGCTGAAAGTCGAACTCTGGACTGGGAAGGAGTCGTGAATTCCTTCTGGGTTGGTTCACATCAGGCCTGTGCACATAGCACGTAGTGATGGGAATCACTGGTGGGCCTTGCTGAAGGAGTTCAGGCCTGATTCCTCCTTCCCCTTGCACCAGTGACAGTTGGGAGTACCACCACAGAGCTACATTGGTATGAAACCGGTGTGAGGGAGGGGAGATTCAGGGGCTTTGTTTCTAAGAGGAGGGGTTGAATGTGGTGCTGTGGTGGGCCAGGAGAGGCTGTGCGTTCCAAGGGGAGCGGGAGATGAGTGGGAAAAGACAATACGGAGGGAGGACTGGGATCATGGCAGCAGGAGGCCCTGTCATACCCTCGCTGGCTCTGTCATACCCATCACTACCCCTACAGACCTGAGCATGGTTTTCCATTTTCCCGGGAGAGACGAGACTCCTTGGGCTGAAAAATGTCTTCTTGGGGGCGGGGGGATGTTTCTTGTTCAGTTACGGCTAAAATCCCCCATAGCGATGCTTCCTCACACCTAGTCAGCTGCAATCTGTGTGTTGAAATAACCTGGAGAATTCGATTCTCTGGGTCGTGAGTCAGGCAATAACAATGTATCATTTGATCAGCTGCATCCCTCCCCACATAAACGCATGTTGTTGGCTGGATGAAGGGTATTGTACTAGTGCACGGGGTGACAGAGCTTATTCTGCCCCTGCCCTACCCCAAATGCAAGGGAGATAAAGAAATAGGCTATGGCGGTCTCTCTAGTCGTGGAGCTAGTGGTAAAAGAATTTGGCCAGTCTTAGGCTGTCAGTGAGCAATGATCCTTCTTCCATTGCTCTTTCCTTGCGTGCAGTGAGTTTCTCCAGGTCTCAACACAACGTGCGTGGCTGTTACAGGATGGCTCAGCCCTCAGCTAGCCTAAGAGATGCTGGAGTTCCCTTATATCCCCTCACAGCCTAAGCCACAATGTTGGTGGTTTAATATTTTTATATCTTTCATACGTGGGTGCCCTGCTCACTCTCTCCCCTGGCATGAGTGCACGGGGATCCCTTGTGGATGAGCGTGCTTGGAGAAGCAGTGTCTGCCTCCCTCCCACTTCAGCTGAATTGATGTTCTGTGTCTTTTCTTTCAGGGACCCATCAGCTCAGCCTGGAGGGGAGCTGCTGCTGGGAGGGACTGACCCCAAGTATTATACCGGAGACTTCAACTGGGTGAATGTCACACGCAAGGCATACTGGCAGGTCAAAATGGATGAGTGAGTTCCACCTTCCTTTCCACGTGCCCGCGCTCGCTCGCTCGCTCGCTCTCTCTCTCTCTCTCTCACACACAGCCATGTATTCGAGGGCAGAATTTATCCCATTGTCTTCCGCCTCTCCCCACTTCCCAGGGACTAACTGGCTAGGTGTGAAGGGTCCTGTCCAGACGTGTGTAAGTCCCATTGTTTTCATTCAGACCTGCTCTGTGCTGGGCACAAGCCACCAGTGCAAATGCTTATAAGCTGCAGCTTATGCCAGCTTCAAGCAGGAGTAAACCCACCAAATCACGGCTTCTGGCAGCTTTGCTTATCTCCCCTCAGGGCCTCGCTACACCAATTGCTATCGTTCCCAGTGGGGATGAAACCCCAGAGTTGCTTGTACGTAAGGGCTGAATGGGGCTCAGAGAATTCAGCACTTGATGGAAGGGGCCCTCTTCTTATAGGCACGCAGTAGTAAGCACTCTGCATTGCTCGGGGAAGTGAGGGGGAGGGACTGAGCCTGGTTGCATCATCCGAGCAGAGGGCTGTTAGCCAGGAAGCCTGGACTTCTATTCCAAGCTCTAGACCAGGTCTACACTACACAGGTTTGTTGGCGGAGCTTTGTCAGTCAGGGGTGTGGAAAGAGCCACAGCTGACATAGCCGTGCCTGCAAACCCCCCTCCCCCCCCCATTTCCTCCCCCAGCATAGATGCAGTGATAGTGACAGAAGAGGGCATCTCTCAGCATAGCTAATGTCATATGGGGAAGTGCTGTTACTATGCCAACAGAAAAACTCCTGTTGGCATATGCTGTGTCTACACGAGGGGCCTCTGCTGGTATAGCTACACTGGCAAAGCTTCTGTAGTAAAGGCACTCTACACGGTCCTGTCTACATCTAAGGATCTCCAAGTGCCTCCCATCCTTCCCTGGCACATGGGCCAAGTATCATTATCCCCAAGTTATTTAATGTTTGCAAAGTGCATTGAGACCCTTGACTGGAAGGTTTTATAACAGTGCAGAGTATTGTGATACTTAACATCAGCAAAGGCCAAACCAGACCCTAATAGACTTCCTTTGAAGTGGGAAATGTTACACAACCCTTTTAACCCTTTGCCATCCATGGTGGTACATACTGCTGCATAAATCACTGTGGAAACAGATTCAGATATCTGCAGGGGAAGTGCCAAAGTACATACAGGTTTATGTGTTATCATCCTGGGTAACGCATCATGGTAACAGGTTTAGCATGTCAGCTAGCTGTGGGATACCAGGCAGAAATGAAAGAAATTTGCTGGCCCTGCTGCAGCAAAGTATGTATAACCTCAATCACATGAGTGCTCTCATTGAAGTTGATGGGACTATTCACTTAAAGTGAGGTATTTGCTCAAGTGCTTTGCTGGATCAAGACCTAGGTATTTCCATACTTCAGCATATTCTGGGAGTTTTAACTGTTAATTCCCTACTCCAGTTTGCCAGTATGTTTATACTGTTCTGTTAAGGTTTTTTCCCCCCCGCTGTTTAAGTAACTGATTCATATTTGCAACCTGAACTGCAACTCACAAAGGGCTTTTATTATCTGGGAATCTTCTTTTTCACATAGACTGGATGTTGCCAATGGCCTGACCCTGTGCAAAGGGGGCTGTGAAGCTATTGTGGACACAGGAACCTCGCTTATTACAGGGCCAACGAAGGAGGTGAAGGCGCTGCAGGCTGCCATCGGGGCTAAGCCGCTCATCAAAGGACAGGTAAACCCCGGCAGAGAAACTGGGTGGTGAACTGGAAACTTGGGGAGGGGCGAGTATTCCAAAAGACTGGTACCCCCACCCCTTGGAATCTCTACACTGGCTTCCCCTCTTCAGACAGCTTAACATCAAGCTTCTCCTTACTTTGCAGATTTCTTATTTCTGTCCCTCCTTGCATCTCTGCCCGTCTTTCCTCCTACAGCCCCTTCCCACTCTCTGTGCTCTGCCCAAGCCTTTCTTGGGGGGGATTCCTTTTCTCCTTCTCCTGAAAAGCCTCTTGATTAATATGACCCAAATCCCCTCCCTCTCCTCGCCCATGGCTCCTGAAACCCAATGGTAGTGTTCCATCAGCACTTAAGTCTTTGTCTGTCCTGCGTCACGCCCACTTGTGCCTCTAGACTGCGAGCTCCTTGGGGCAGGGACCTGCTGTTTCTTTGGCACGGTGAGCCGGGTGCTGTACACTTTACAGCCCCATACAGAGAATTAAGGGCAGCAGCCTGGGAGAGGGAGGGACACACGCTGCCCCTCCCTATCCTGAACTGCAGCTAGTGAGCTTGGATTCTCTCTCCTGCTTTGGAAACTGACCTGCTTCTGTGGGAGGAGCAAGTTGTCATGGAGAAATCCCAGCCCCCTGAACCGTGATTGTGCCAGTTCTGGATAAACTAAGAGCGAAGGAGCCAGTGAGGAAATGGAGTGGAGTTTAATAGTCTCCCATGCTGTTTCTTGGCCAGCTGGGACAAGAATTAAGGCCTGATCCCATTGACTTCAGTAGGCTTTGGCTCAGACCCTGTATCCCCTCCCTGTAGCAGTGGGGGAAAGGGCGGGGGGTAAATTCACATTTGAAAGCACTTGCACAAAAGTCCTACAGGATTTAATAGACAATGAGAATCTTTCCATGGGTGTTTTCACCATCCTATAGAACCTAATAGAGAATCAAGTCCTCAGTCTAGGATTCTGTTAATAAATGTCCTATGAGGGATCTCCTCTAAGAAGTTCTGTAGGGTTTTAGAATAATGTATATAGAGCACTATTTGGTTCAGCCTTCTTAACTTCTGCAGGGATAAGGGTGCCTGTAATGTAGTGACATTCGTTCTGGACCTGGCTCTCTCCAGGCCCCATCAACACCACTGAGAGGATTTATTTATAATTAGATGGATTGCATCTATTCAGAGTCTCTAGGGTTTTTTGTTCAACACCATCTATTTCTATTGCAGTAGCAGCTAGAAGGCCCTATCCCTACTGTGCTAGAGGCTGTACAAATGCCTAATGAAGAGACACCCCCTGCCCCAAAGCATTTACAATCTCAGTAATATGACTTGCCGAACAGCGGTTGAAAGCGTCTTCCCCGGTGCTAGAACAGAACCAGCCCCCATAAGCTCAGCTGTCCCAGGCAGGATGTAAGAATATAGTGTTACAAGCCCTTGTATGTCTGGGGAGATTTCTCAATGCAACAAACACTTGCCCATTACATACCCCAGCATAGCCCGTAACAAGCCCCACTGACAAAACTGGGTCTGTGGAGAGCAACTTGGGGCCCGGCTGGCCAAGGGATTGAGGGACTTGAAGCCGTGTATTTGTGCCCCTGCTCCTGCTTTGCATCCAGTATTTTGTGCTTTTATTCATTAGTTCAGCAGCTCCTAGGGGCCCCATTGTGCATAGGCGCGACATGTGCACTTAGTAAAATAGTCTGTGCCCCAAAGAGCTCTGAGTGTGGGGGTTTCAAAGGAGCCCAATGGCATTATATTCCCATTTCCCATTTCATCGGAATTCGAGACACCACAGACAAAGGTTGGGAGGAGAGCCCGGCAGGGTGATGCAGTGACTTGCCACAAGTCTCTCACCGCAGATCCGTGGCAGAGCTGGGAGCAGAACTGAGGTCTTCTGACTCTCAGTCCAGCGTGCTACCCACAGGACCACACCGCCTCTTGAGCTAGTCCTCCCACTGGCTGTCTGAAACTCTGTGCACTGAACTGCGCTGAGCCCTTCTGATCGTAAGGGGCCCATGCCTCAGCAAAGAACCCATTAGGATTCGATTTAAGGCTAGAGGGTGCTAATTACCATAGGCTGCCTCCTTTCCTTTCCTTTCCTTTCCTTTTTTTTTTTTTTTCCTTACCCCGCAGAAGGCTGTTGTCTGAGCACAGAAGGAGAGGCCTAGCCATCTCCCATAGCAACCCCCTTTTCCTTAAGCCTGCCAACCAGCAGCTTTTCTGTGCCCATGGGGTCTCATGCTTCAGTGTGCTGCTGCTTCCTTTTCAGTATGTGATCCCCTGCGATAAAGTGTCGTCCCTTCCTGTCGTCACTCTCATGCTAGGAGGAAAGCCCTATGAGCTCACCGGAGAACAGTACATCTTCAAGGTGAGTTCAGAGCAGCTTCTACCCAGCTCCCTTTCCTACACTAGCTCTTCTCACCTAGACGTAGGAGGCAGGGCTGTCGTGGTGAAATCCTGGCCCCTCGGAAGTCAGTGGTAGTCTTACCACCTCAGTAGAGCAGGGGTTTCATCCCAATGCCCATGTGAGTCCTGCCAGGATAGTGCCTGTTCACTGCTGCAAGGTTAGCTGCTTGCCAGTCCTATCTGAGTCCGCGTCCTAACCTCTTCTAGTCAAGAGAGCAGGCAAGACTCCAAAGCAGGATATGTGGAGCAGGATCAGCCCAGAGCTTCAATCACAGGGTCTGACTCTCACCTCACTCACTCTGGTCTAAATCAGGAGTAACTCTGCAGAGAGTTAGACCTGTGTGTGTAAGGTTAGAATTGGTTCCATGCACTATGGTTCCAGATGGGACCCCCTGCGTGCCAGACTCAGGGAGAAACATGAGTCTGAAGAATCAGGATGTTGTCATGCAGATTTCAGCTGCTGGGTCTGTAGAGAGCAGTGGAGACCTCCACTGGTTTGTTGCAGTAGTAGGAGACGGCTAAGGCCTCGTCTACACTTGCAAGTTAGAGCACATTAAATCAGCCCTGGGCACCCTAACGCCTGAGGTGTCCACACTGGCAAGGCACTTAGAGAGCCTGGACTCCACAGCTGGAGCGCTCCTGGTAATCCACCTCCACGAGAAGCATAGAGCTTTCTGCACCGGGACTGAAGTGCTGGGGTGTCAGTGTGAATGACTGTTGCATTACTGTGCTGTGATTGGCCTCTGGAAACGTCCCATAATCCCTTGAAGTCAAGTGGCCACTCTCGTCATTGTTTTGAACTCGGCTGCAGGCATGCGGCTATCCCCTTTCAAAGCTCCATTTCTTACAGCCGGCATGCTTATCTGCTCCGGGATAAAGCAACCATTACTGTGGATTGCTCCTGCTGCAGAGGCAGGCATTTGTGCATGTGTGAGAGAGAGGCGGGGGATGGGGGCTGATGTTGGGGTTTCCCCCTTCCCCCTGCCGCTGTCTGAACTTACAAGACAGCATGCTGACACACACTCTGCCCCCCAAAACACACTCTCTCTCCCCCCACATACACACAACACACTCCCTGTCACACTCCACCCCTACCCCCGCATTTGAAAAGCAGCTGGCAATCTATTAGGATGCCCTGAAACAAGGGGATTGGGAGACCTGCATCATGTGACGCTGTGCCTGCCCCATTAGGCATTGCAAACCCTTTCCAAAGAACGCTGCAGCCACTTGCACACTGGGATAGCTACCACAATGCACTGCTTTCTGTGGCGTTGCAAGAGCTGCTAATGTGGACATGCTCCACAGTCACAAGGAGCACAGTGTGAACACACGGCAGTGCTTTCGCTGCTGCTGTCTCTGAGGGCTGGTTTAACTCCTGGTGCTCTACATCTGCAAGTGTAGACGTAGCCTGAGTAAAGCCATCAGCTCCTGCAGTGGATGAAACTAGGGAGGCAGGGTGAGCAATAATGGACAGGACATCATGTGACTCTTTCAATACCTCTTCTACTATTGTAGTCCATCTGCCACTGGGTTTGGAGCGCTCAGGGCCAGTCCCTGTCATGATAGATGATGATGATCACGGTTAATACCTCATACCACATAGAGTCAGTTCCACCAATTGGTGCCCTAGAGCGGAGCTTGTGGGAGGGCGGGGGAAGGGATGAAAGACTCGTCCTTCTACTAACCTTCTCACTCTTTCCTGTAGATTTCTGTACAGGGAGAGAGCATCTGCCTGAGTGGATTTTCAGCCCTGGACATCCCACCTCCCGGGGGCCCGCTGTGGATCCTCGGAGACGTGTTCATTGGCCCCTACTACACAGTGTTTGACCGTGATAATGACTCTGTTGGCTTTGCCAAGTGTGTCTGAGTGCCTGCCCCACCACCCCTGCCATACACACACATGCACGCACTGTAGAGAGTGAGTCCCAGGATTAGGAAGCAAATGAGGAAATAAAAGAAATGGAAATAGATTTAAAATTAAAAAGGAAACAATATTAGTGCCCTCTTAATGACCCTTTGCCGTCTCTTGAATAAGTGATAATCAGAGAGCTCTAGCGGATCACTCAATCTAGAGCAGCCCCCGCCTTGTTAGATCTTCCAGCTCCATTTTAAATATTAGCTAATGAAGTCATGACTCCAAGCACCCGTCTCGCAAATAGGAGAGCTAGCTCATGAGATCCATGTGATGATTCCACTCCTCCTGCAGAGAACCCACATTGGTAATGGTCATTAGATTCACTGTTATACTGGGAGGGGACGAGGGGGTTACATATGTACATGCAGAAAACTTTCTCCTTATTCCTCTTTTCTAACCAATGACAGGGTGGGGGAGCTTAGTCTGGTGGCTCTCAATGTCCTTCCTTGTGAGACTGATTTCTCTTGTGGAGCTGAGGAGGGTGATCGAGAGATGGCCGCATGAGCCATCCCTTAAAATACACAAGGGAAGGCTTAGGATCAAAACACATTAGCCGAGTTTCTTGTGTCGTGGCAGCACAATGGGAGCACTTGGTGTGGTGTGACCATCTCTGTTGACGTGTCTCACTGGGCAGGGATGACAATAGGGGCTCCAGCCAGTAGAACCCTCAGGGAGCAGAAACGGGAAGGGGACCGTGGTAGGATTTGATAATGGTCTTTGGTTCATGTCCACAGCGGCCCATCTTTACACTTAAGGCTGAGCAAACCAGTTCAGATAAAATAAGAGATGACCCAAACTTCTTAGGTTTGAAATAGTTTGGTTGGTTGGGGTTTTTTTCTTAAAGTCCTACGGTTTGGGAAAATTTGTCAAGAGCTATTGAGCTGAGAGGTAATTTTTTTTTTTTTTTTTAAAAGCATTTAAGTTACCTAGAAGCCCTAGGTCCCACTGACAGTCAATGGGGTTTAGGTGCTTTCAAGTTACTTAGCTGCTTTTGAAAATTTTACTTGTATTTTTGATCTGATCAAACCAGAGACTGTTAGCAGTCAGACAGGAGATTTGCAAGACTTCCAGATCAAAGAGGTTTGGGGAAGCATCTCAAGTTCCAGGTGCTTCTCTTTACCAA